TTCCAGGCAGTCGCTGAACCATGAACATGAGAACAAGGAAAATGACTTTGACAGACGGAAACTTCGTAACATAAGGTATCGGCATACAAGGTACGTCGCAAGCGAGACAAAAACCATTGAGAGTTTATTATCCCTTTACATATAAATGCATAGCTTGCTGTTCGGTGTGAGCCAATGCTCCGTGTTAAAGGCCGTACCTTGACCTATAATAGTTTACTTTTATAAATTGTAACTTGGATGGAGAGTTGTCTCATTGGCACTCATACCACATCTTCCTATATCTATATATGGTTACACTTTTCAAGTCTGGTTTTCTAGGGTCATTAGAAATTTATATTATCTGTCAATAATTGATTGACATGCTTTCTATTGACTTCGGAAATTCATTTTACTGTAATACAGTAAAACAGAGTTTTAATAAACTATTTAGTACATATACATATACTGCAGGAAAGATGACCTGTGAATCTTCTGATAATAAAACATGTACCTCTGTCTAGTGAGCAAACTGTTCTTCCTATTACTCTTGAAAATACAATTAAAATTTTATTTCAGTTTATAAACTGTTAGAATAATTGGCATACGTGTACAGTACAACAAAGACATTATGATATTTCATTAGATAATAAACTTGCAGGGTATCTTTAAATTTGGTGTATTTTTAGGAGTATAGTTATCATCAAATCCTATATGTTCATCGTCATACCAAGCAAACCACAATCTCTTATATACTAATTACTGTCTACTGTATTTGCAAATCGTCTCCTCAATCCTTAGATCCTTTAAGGAAAAGTATATTAACTGTTTCCTTTTTCTCAATTTTAAAAACATTATGTTTGGTTTAAACTACTGGAGCAGAAAACACTTACAATAAAAATATCAATCAATATGTATATCTGAGGATTTTGTAAAACTTGTCAGGTAAAAGCAAATAAAGGGAAGAAAATATGCATTAGTTCAATTTAAACTTCTCCTTAAGTTTATATATATAACTTCTTATTTTTTTGCTGTATATATTGATTGATTGTTTATTGCTTAATGTCCAATGTCAAAAGACTTGAATATAAGTTTCATGCATGTTCAGGACGATTTCTGTATATATATTATCTTGATAAGATATCAGTACCTTGATCTATAGCTTGGTAATTATTGCAGATTTCATCTGAAATTCCATGTTTATTTGCGTACTGCCAGACTCCAATATCCTCACCGCTATGACAGATCCAACACCCCACAGTCAATCACATTTTGTACTGACAAATAAGCTGAAGGGCATATCCCCTTACGTTTAATATTTATCCTGCTAGGGCAATTATAGATCCCATGGCCCAACATGATCCACAGTCTGAAAATAGTCAAATATGTCAGTTTCATACAGTATATCCTCAAATGTTTCTGTGACTGTTAGTGTAGCTTGTTAATTTGATAGTGATTAAGGATCTTTAATGTTTTTTTTTTACATTCAGACTTTACCTCAATGGACGGATCCATGGAGTAAGCGGTTGAAAGATCAATTTATATGAAATCCAGGGCAGGAAAGTCCAAGGGCCAGCTTTATAATTGTATGATTGACTGTCAGAGGGTTTTTAAGTACATTTTTCTTATCTATAACTGCAGGGTCAGTCTGTCTTGTCCATTTTATTTTTTAATTCTATATCAGCCAATGATATCTTAGAAAGAGGAAGTATGTGATACATAATGTTTACAATATTGTTTCTTATCCAAGTCCTTTGATCCTGATGAATATTTGTCTAATTGGCAATCAACCCACGTGACATCTTCTTATTTTCATAGTATTAATCACCATGATCATACAAGTACAGACCTAGCAGAGTGGGTGGCTTTATGATATATCACTATAGTGATGAAATTGAATCCTGTAAAATTTATTAAATATTTGTCATGATGACAAGCAATGATTATTTCGTGGTTGTCCACAGGATAGAAAGTGAAATTTGAGTTTATTTAATATACTTTCTGTTCTTCTTTAGAATCATTTTTTTAAAGTTTTTTTTATATCCATGTTGCATATAGATAACAGCCTCTTGATATCTCGCTCATAGTCCACAATCATTCAAATAAAACCGTTTTCATACATCATGGTATCTTTGATGACTTTTCTCTTGTTTTCTGATTGCTATTCTAGCGGTTCGATCAAATTTACTGTCACCCGGTAAACTGATAATTAATCTGTGTTAGACCTATCATCTTGCAATTGGATGAACTGTTTTCTGGTACAGACCATATGAACGACACCATCTACCATTATTGCTAATGAAACCGGTTAGCTAAAATTTTAAGCTAGAATTATCTAAAACAAGAATGTGTCCATAGTACACGGATGCCCAACTCGCACTATCATTTTCTATGTTCAGTGGACCGTGAAATTGGGGTAAAAACTCTAATTTGGCATTAAAATGAGAAAGGTCATATCATAGGGAACATGTGTACTAAGTTTTAAGATGATTGGACTTCAACTCCATCAAAAACTACCTTGACCAAAAACTTTTAATCTGAAGCGACCAAAAACTTCAACCTGAAGATGGACAGACGGACGAACGGACGCACAGACCGAAAAACATAATGCCCCTAGGTGGGGCATAAAAATTACTTCATAAGACTTACACCAACAATTCGTGTGCAAATTTCATTACTTTGGCTCGAAATTTAAATAAATTCACCACAAATTTGACCTTATTTGTTGTTTCGTCTTATTGGTGAATCATATTAAGTACACCTTTTAAATATAACAATTGCTTTTCTCGTTCCAAAAGCGATTGTCAATACTCATGTTTATAATATTTCAGTTTTTTTCAGAATTTGAATCATCCCACTATGCTGGTTTCATGTCATCAGTTTGCAATCTATGAAACTGATACCTGAGTACTTTAGTCCATTGATACCGCTACTTTGTTTCTTCTTTGGTGCAAACTGAAGAACCTATCACGATATCATTTGTTGTTAACAACGTATCGTCTGGAGTTTATCTAATGCATGTAAATCCAGCTTCGATGAAATCTAAATTATCGGCCATCATACCTAAATAACAATTCTCTCACATAAAGTTTACTCTATATAAAATTGATTTTGATTTCTTCTGCTTTCAACATATATATTTTCTAAGATCATTGCATCGGTCCTACTGTATGGTTCAGAAACTTGGTGTGTTTTAGTAAGAGACCTTCAAAAAGTAGATGCATTCCATACTTGCTGCCTAAGAAAGATCAATAGAATATTTTGGCCAAATAAGATCAGCAACAGTAGCCTTTTGGAGAAATGTAATGCTAAGAGCATAAGAGCAGAAATCCAACAACGAAGAATAAGATAGTTAGGCCATGTGCTGAGAATGCAACAACACCGCAAACCTAAACAGTTCTTTCTATATTGGACACCACCAGGAAAAAGAAAACCAGAGAGACCAAGAATCACCTGGCGAAGAACTATAACAGCAGAATTGGAAGCAATGGGTTACACCTAGGGCCAAGCCAAGTACATGGCTAAGGACAGAGAGAAGTGGAGGCAGTTTGTTGTAGCCTTATGTCCCACTGGGGATGAAGAGGATAAGTATGATCATTGCAATGCTTTTATGTCGGTCAGATAGGGTTCATTTGGACCGCGATTTAATTTGCAGGGTTCATCGAACGGCAAATGTTACACCTCAATAATAAGATAGTATGTTGGTATATATATCTGATAAGTTTGAAAAGATGTTCTATAAGGCACACATGTTTGCTTAGTTAATCCTAATCTTTATATAATGATTCATTGGCAAACGTAAAGCTTTCGTGATTAGATAATCTTATCGGCTAAAATTGTCTTTTAATCGTTTTCATTTTTTGCCATGACAATGTCAATTTGTTTTCAACTAATATCCCTTTAGTATCATTCGCCTCTCTTTTTAAATAGGTAAATACTATTACGTAATATGGCATCTTTATTATGTCTGCAGAATCAAGTTGTTCAAATCTGTCTGAGAGAGATCTCATGCTTTGATCTCATGACTCACTGATCAAGGTTTAATTATGATCTATTTTTAGGTCTATATAGTAGATAATGTTTTCAGTGCCTATAATAGGTCAGCAGAATCAGTATTAGTTGTACATGATCATCTGTTAGATTTCATATATCTTAAATCTATCTAATCCTTCTTACTGCTTTTATGCAGCATCATAGATCAGCACTAATGTTTAAATACCGTACACCTATTTCACACAGGAATGCCCATTCATATTTTGTTTTCCAGTATTAAGACCAAGTCTTTTTTTAGTGGTCCAGAGGCTTGGGAATTGAAGTTTGAAAATGTTCACAACTATGGCTTTGTTGAGGTGCCACATGTGGAGCAGGATCTGCTCACCCTTCCGGAGCACCTGAGATCACCCCCAGTATTTTGTGGGGTTCGTGTTGCTTAGTCTTTAGTTTTCTATGTTGTGTCATCTGTACTATTATTTGTCTATTTGTCTTTAAATTTTTGGCCATGGTGTTGTCAGTTTGTTTTCGATCTATGAGTTTGACTGTCCCTCTGGTATCTTTCGTCCCTCTTTTGAGGAAGTAGCAAAAGACAGGTCCTAAACTGAATAAAACTATTTGGTCTCATAGTTTTATACAGCCGAAATTTTTTTTTACTACATTCAATTGTGTTTATTTTTCATGAATTGACCACCTTCTATATACTAGTCCACCACAATAGATGAAAGTATCCATGTTTTCTAAACTGCACAAAGTAACAGAATAGTACATTAAAAAATAACGGGGATAAACCAAAGATTTGGACTGTACAACAGACCTTAACAATCAAGTCTGGTTTCTTAGTGAAGATCCACCTGAGTGTTGCCTGGTACATTGTACAAGAATTTCAGAAGTGCCATATTGAACTTGAGTATCATGAAATTTTTTGGTATGCAATATGGAGCAAGTTCAAAGTACACATAGTACTCCTTTTTCAGTGTTTGAAAATAGTACAAGTAATGCTGGTGGTTTTCAAAAATTGTTAAACAACTATGGTAATTTCTTATTTTTTTTTTAGAAAATTGAGTTTTATTAATATGTAAATGACATAGAAAATTCAGATTTAAACAGATATCATCACAAAACATACAACAAATAATTGCATTTATATGTTTGAGTCACAAAAGTATATCAAAATATCATTTCAATACAGTTGATACAATTCAAAGCCAAAAATATGTACAAAAACAAAATCATTTTATGACTTTTTTAAAAAAGAGTACAAAAATAAAATTCTAATAAATAGTTGATTATGCCACATTAATTTAAAGATCACTTCCAAGAATTTTAGGTAGTTGAAAATTAACAATATAAATAAAACAATAAATAGCTGCACCATAAGTGCATAATATATCTGCTCCTCTTCTTTAACTTTAAGTTCCATAACTCCAAAACAAACAAAGAAATCAGAGAATTTAAATGAAACATGCTTTAATTTTATGATTTTGGATTGAATTTTTAAAGACTGTAATTTGCTTTTCAGCAGTATCACAACCACTATTTACTATTTATAAATCGCAGAAAATGCAAATCTTTCAAATTCTGTTTGGTCTTAAAAATCTTAAAGATAGATCCAAACTTCATGCTTTATGTCTGGAAGATATTGCAAATGTATTTTGTACAATACAAATTTTCATATGCCAAATCATGGTGACTAACTTAAAATCAGGGCAAAAATAATTTCTTGGGATGTTAATCAATCAACAGCACATTAATATCCTGGTGGAATGATTGGGTCTCCATAGCCACACTGACTCTCTATAGCCAAGTTGTAATCGTCTCCCTTGCCATCCATGTATTTACTGGTAACAATACGCAGAAATCCATGTTCTCCCTGTAAAATCCAACAGACATGAGAGATAAGATAAAGTACTACAATTTTTATCATACAGAAAAAAAAGAGTTTATAGAATGACACATAATCATATAAATAACGATAGTCATAGTTAGAGGAAATCAAGGAACAGTGGTGGGTTTTCATAAAAAAGAGTGCATTTTGAATTGGATGGAAAGTTGTCTCATTGGCACTCATACCACATATTCTTATATCTATACACTGAAATGTTTCGCCTGCTTTACTGACCATTGATGTTATATTGAAAGTCTTAAAGATAAAAGTTTGACTACAAGTATCACACAAATTTAACATTTGTAAAGATCCATGACAATGAGGTCAAGGTCAGTTGATACTTGCCTGACATATATGTACACCTCACAATCATTCCATACAACAAATATAGCTGACCTATTGCTTATAGTATTTGAAAATCACAAACCACAATAAATTGCTTTGCCGATTGCAGCTGAATACGACCGCAGAGGTCCAACCCTGAACAGTTGGGGCACAATATTCGCACTTGATAGAGGTTTAAATTTGGATTGTAATTAAATATTTGACAAATAATAGTTTTCTGACACAGAATAACTGTAGTCAAATAACTTGAATTGGTTATGTGATTTGAATTTATATTCATTTTTTTGTTTTTGTATGCCCCCCCAAAAAAAATTTTTTTTTACACCCCCCCCCCCCCCCCCCCCCCCCCCCCCCTTTTGGGCAAAAAAAAATATTATTTGAAGAAGTTTTCTTTTTAATTTCTGAAATCTTGAGAACAAATTGTCTCCACACCCCCAATTTTTTTTAACCCCCTCCCCCCCTTTTCCAAAAAAAAATTCTTTTCCTCAAGATATGGTCATAATCTCAATTCAAATTTCCAATGGAGTTTGCAACCATAATTACCCATTTAAATACATCATAAAAGTCTTTAAATAGAAAATGACATACATAATCATGGCTAAATTTTAAATTACCTTAGTCAGCATTTTTTAAAATAGTAACTTCTAAAAAATAAATTGACAGTTCATCACCTCAAGACAATACAACATTTCTTTATACATAATTTAAAAGCAGTGTAAGGAAGATAATTCAAATGTTGTGTTTGAATTACCTCCCTTGCACTGCTTTTAAATTACTTTTTGTACTTAAGTAATTGTCCATTAACCAGGACATCCTTGTTTTTCCCCCTTTTTTGTCCCTAATTCCTTAACAGTTTGAGCCATAACCCCCCAAAGCCAATTCTTACCATCACTTTGTGGTATGGAAACTTGGAGTATAATTTTAGAGAGATCCATACACCATTCCACAAGTTATTGTCTGGAAACTAGAAAAATGCTTATTTAGGCCCCTTTTTGGCCCCTGATTCCTAAACTGTTAGGACTATAACCCCCAAAATCATTCCAAACCTTCCTTTTGTGGTTATAAACCTTGTGTTTAAATTTCATAGATTTCTATTTACATTTACTAAAGTTATTGTCCTGAAACCAAATGTCTTCGGATGACGCTGACGACGTAATAACAATATACGACTGCAAAATTGCTGTCGTATAAAAAATGTCCCCCCCCCTTTTTTCCAAAACAAAATTTTTTTTCCCTCAAGATATGGTCATTATCTCAATTCAAATTTCCAATGGAGTTTGCAGCCATAATTCCCCATTTAAATACATCATAAAAGTCTTTAAATAGAAAATGACATACATAATCATGTCTAAAATTAATATTCCTCAATCAGCATTTTTGATAGTAACTTCTAAAAATAAATTGACAGCTAATCACCTCAAGACAATACAACATTTCTTTATACATAATTTAAAAGCAGTGTAAGGGAGGTAATCCAAACACAAAACATTGTACTTAAAAGTAATTGTCCATCAACAAGGAAGCCCTTGTTTTTCCCCTTTTTTGCCCCTAATTCCTAAACAGTTTGAGCCATTACCCCCCAAAGCCAATCCTAACCATCTCTTTGTGGTATGGAAACTTGTGGTATAATTTCATAGAGAGCCATACACCGTTCCACAAGTTATTGTCTGGAAACTAGAAAAATGTTTATTTGGGCCCCTTTTTGGCCCCTAATTCCTAAACTGTTAGGACTATAACCCCCAAAATCAATCCCAAACTTCCTTTTGTGGTTATAAACCTTGTGTATAAATTTGATAGATTTCTATTTACTTATACTAAAGTTATTGTCCTGAAACCAAATGACTTCGGAAGATGCTGACGACGACGACGATGACGTGATACCAATAAACGACCGCAAAATTTTTGGGGTCGTATAAAAACTTAACATCGACCAATGAACTATGAAATTGAGGTCAAGGTCAGATGAAACCTGTCAGACTGATAAGTACCCCTTACAATCATTCCATACATTATATATAGTTTACCTACTACTTATAGTTTCTAAGAAACGGACGTAATTATGTAGCTTTAACCTTGATCACTGATCCTTGAAATGAGGTCAGATGAACCTTGTTTGACGTACATGTAGACATTGCAAGGAACCCATATACCAAATATAGTTATCCTATTACTCATAATAAGAGAGAAATTCACACGACAAAAAAACTAAAAAAAAATTTCAAGCAATCCTTGAACCATGGAAATGAGGTCAAGGACAATGGACATATGACAGACTAAAACTTCGTAACATAAGGTATGAAGCATCAAGGTCTTCTATCTTCTTGAATATGAAGCTTTATACAAATAGTTTACACTGCTGCTGCTGGATAGTCATCCCTATGTCTCGCATATTGCGACTATGAGCGCAGGCGAGAAAAAACCTCCAGAATATTACTATACAAAAAGAAGAACTTAAAAAGCTTCATTATTTTCAGACATATCATTCTGTGTGATTATCTTAATTCTTTTTGATCACTGATTATTATGTTATAATTTTTCTGTATGCTTTCTTATTATTACATATTGTGATTCTGTATGCTTTATTTTCATTGTATTAATTGTGGTGGCTTTGTATACCTTGTTTACTTGATAATTGTATTAAGATGATGCCACAAGCCTTCTACTCCTGACCCAATATTTCAACCTAAAATCACTTAGTCAATGAATATAGTGAACAGGGAATAAAAAGATCCCAGACCAATTGTCTATTATTGTTTTGTGGTAGTTCATACCTTCTAAATTTTGTGCCTTTGAATATATCTTAAATTTTGGCTTTAAATTGATTATCTTGAAGTGTAAATACTACAGATATCCAATTTTTTTTTACATTCAGATATATAGATCAAATTAAGCATTATAATTGTATAAAAAGTTCTGTAAAAATCCTAAATACTGTTCAATTACGTTTACTTCACCTTAGAGGATGTTTTACTCATTAAAAATACTTACCCAAGGTGTTCCCCATGAATTTCTGACAACCCAGTATTCTGTACTTGTTTTAGGGTCAACTCCCCATCCAACTACAGATACAATATGGTTTACCTACAATTATTATAAACATGTTTAAGTTCAAAGTACATCAACAAAATCTTCATTCCTTTCTTTTTTTTTGTTCAATTATTAAACTGATATATGTTAAAAAGGTTCTGTAAAATCATTATCAATGGAAAACAAGAAAATTGTCCTCTAAATTATCTGTACATAAGAAATGATTAAACACCTGTTGACTGACTTCATTGCAACATTTATTAAAAATTTGTGTTATTAAGTTTCTTTCATTTAATATTTTGGGCAAATAATTTCTTAATTGTTACAAGTGACCCAGTCATCTTTCTCAATTTATCAAAGTAAATGATTGCAAAAAAAAAATTAAAATTAAAAAATTTCATCACTTCAAAAATATGACAGAATTCAAAATAGTCAGATAAAATAAAATGAATGCTAAAATGGCTTCTACTGAAACAGGTGTACTAATGCCAATACATGTATAAAATTATACAGACAAGAAGGAAAAACAAACAAATTATTGTTTATACTCAGCAACTTGTGACAAAGTTGATGCATTTTATAAGTTCAGGTATCAATTTTTGTTTACAAAAGTAAGCATAGGTAAATTCAAGCTACCTAGAAATGAACAGACATATAAAAATAAAAAAGGAAAGAAAAATTGCTAAGATGATAGATAAAAATATGTGAAAAAATAATTAAATGAACTTTTATCATAATTTTTCAATAACTGAATTAAGTAAACATATTTTTCAAAAAGAAAATAAGGAATTTTATTTTAATATATCAGGAAGATGACACCAAACGCAATCACATGATTCAACCTAATTTCCTGGTTATTATTCTTGCTATCTCCAGTCTATAATTATATCCTATTTCATCTATCATATATTCTAACATTTGTTAAATTAAAAAAACACTTCCTCATACACAACAATACAGCAACTAATACAAACATTAAAATCTTGTATTTAATTGATATGATCTAGAAATGGAGCTGCCTCATCAGAAATGGTTTTGACTTTTTTCTTCCTGGTTTTACAATATAAATGTATGTGTACCAATGCAGTTTCAGGTGACCTTTAGTCTTACTGTGAATTCATTATCTTTTGTTGGATACTGATTTTCATGGATTTCATTGGTATAGGTGAACCACACATTTAAATGTTCAATGAAGTACAAATTTTCTAGAGGCTTGTATGCCGACTTTGAGAACAACCACGAAATCAAATATCCACAAAATTTTTTTCCTTAATCCACAAAAATTTATGAATCCACAATAACTCATTCATCTGGATTGGATAATCTACACCATAAAATTATTTTATGTAAGTATTTACACTGCCAAAAAGTCACAAACTATCTATTGAATCAGTTCCTTGTGTAAATGAAAAATAATGACAAACTTACTGATGGTTCTGCATTCTTCTCCATATAAACTCCCCCTTCATACTGTTCCAATTTATCTGTAGCCATTATACCACAACTGTAAAAATTAAAATGTATTTATTTCATAAATATAAACTTGAAGAAAGTTATAAACGTGTATACTTATTAGTTTTAATTCCAGCATAATCAGTCATATTATCCAGGATCTCAGATTTTCTTATATATATAATTTATCAAGAACAAAAACTAGATTTTTTTGGGTTTACCATACCAAAGCAAGGACATAGAAATTTTTATCCATAACAAGTTTGTTAATTCACAACTCCTTCAAAAGAAGTCGACCCAGTTTAACAAAAGTTGCACAGATTCTTCTACAGAACAAGAAGTTGTGAACCTGCTATTTTATTTTTTGTGGCTTCCCATATCAATGGACACTCATTTTACTGAAATACTGAATACAATTTTTGGAGATGACAGGCGACGCATATCTAACATCGAAGACTCAAACATTTCATTTACTAGGCAGATGTAAAACCAGAATTTTGATTAGATAGATACTTCCAACATCTTCAAGATACTGGTACTGTACAAATGAATGCATTAACTCGCAGGATGGAATGTGAGCCTCCTAATAAATTTTGAAATTTCCACTATCTTGTGAGGGAGACTTTACAATATTCCCCTGTTAGAAATCTCTCTGTTCTGTTTATTAGTTTCATAGAATCAAATATTTTGTTATTGTATTATAGAACACAGATCAGCTAGAATATCCAAGTTAATGTGACAAACATTCTACAGCAAATCTCAGCCCAATTATTTTTATCTCAGTGATCTCAACCCTCTGGTAATTAAAAATGAACACTTTATCAAAAGGCATCCTGTAAATCTGCAATCTGCTGTAATACATTACCCTCCTTCAAGAGATTTTAAAGTTTAAATTTTGTGTTTACCTGATTGGTCCATTTTTGTAGATCTCAGCCATCATTTGATCTCTTCCTTTAACCCTACCATAATCACCAACTTTCCACAATGTATATGTATTTAACTGTTTACATTGTCCAAAGGTTGTACAGGTTCCACACTGGTTAAAGGTATCACAGTCTGAAATACAGCAATGTAAAAACCATTCTAAAAAATTCTGAAAGTTATCTAAAATCATTCAGTACAATAAAAAAAGGTCCTTAAATTAACTTTGCAGTGCAGATATTGAAGATCAACAGGGAACCCAATACCTTATGTACAATGAATGTAATAAACATGAATATCAGTTTATTGTTTTCTTAACTTTTGTGAATTTTTTTATTCAACAACACCAGTAACATGTCTTACAATGTACAAGAAGTATGATTTTTGTAAAGAATCCTAATGAGCAATTCTATAAAATTGCTTGCAAATTCTTCTTTTTTCCAAGGATCATTTTTCTAAATGTATGGGACAATGGCCTTTCTCACTGTCTCTTATAAATCACTGCAAACTAACTATACAACTCTTATTGAAGGACTGCATAAAACTAAATCATTGTAAATGTTACAGATACAAACTAGAAGCATGCAAATGTTCTTCCTTAATCTTACTCTGTGTTTAAAAATACCATTGACAGTTCATTATCCCTTTACAGATAAATGCATATGGTTATATTTTTCCTGTCTGGTTTCCCAGAGTCAACAAAAGTATATATTGTCAATAATTGATAGACATGATTTCTATAGGGTTCCCAAATCAATCTTACAATGTTACTGTAATACAGTAAAATTATTTAGTACATGTACATATGTTTATCCAAAGACAAACAGGTTAACTCTGTATGTACTGAAAATAAAACGTGTACCTCAGACATAATCGTATCTTCAATCAGTTGATTATACTATTTCCTTGTTTTGAAATTTTAAATACCCTGGTACATTGTACATTATATTTAGTTTAAGCTACTGGAGCAGAAAACACTTACAATAAAAAATCAATTAATATACATGTCTGAGGACATAAAACGCGTGGTATCCATTTCAGAACGTATACCGGTAATTTGTAAAACTTGTAAGATACATGTAAATAAAAGGAAGATAGATTTACATTATCTTAATTTAAACTTCTCCTTAAGTATATATGTAGAACTTCATTGATTGTTGCTTAACCTGCAATGGCAATTATTTAATGCATGTTTAGGACGATTTCTGTATATATATTATTGAGATAAAATAACAGTACCTTGATCTTTTGCTTGGTAATTGTTGCAGGTTTCATCTGGAATTCCATGTTTATTTGCATACTGCCAGACTCCAATATCATCTCCACCATGACAGGATCCAGCACCCCCACAGTCAATCACATTTTGTGCTGACAAGTAAGCTGAAGGCCAGGCCCCCTTACGTTTAATATTGATCCTGTCTGCCAGAGCACTTGTAGATCCCATGGCCCAACATGATCCACAGTCTGTAAATAGTCATATGGGTTATAATGTATCTTTAATCGTTTCCCTGATGGTCAGGGTAGCTTATAATTTAGTTAAAGATGTCACAGTATCATATGGGTTATCTTTAATTGTTTCCCTGATGGTCCGGTTAGCTTATAATTCAGTTAAAGATGTCACAGTAATGACAGTATCATATGGTATATCATGATGTTTCTGTGATGGTCAGTGTAGCTTGTTAATTTGATAGTGATTAAGGTTCTTTAATGTTTATTTACATTCAAAATGAATCAATTATTTTTATTAGTCTGTCTGTTAACATTCATACATGACTTGCATGAACAGATCCAGGGTGTAAGGGATGGAAAGACCACTGTATAAGTCACTAAGTGGAACCATGGCAGGAATGTCCAAGGGCCCACCTTAAAATTGTAAGTTACAGCTGAAAATGTGTTTTTAGGTACATTTTTCTTAATTATTAATACAGCAGGTTCCTCCTTATCTTGTCCTCTTTTTTTTTTTATTCTGGATGAACTAATTTTTCGTAGAGAGAGAGGACACATGTTACACAGAATGTTTACAAGCTTATATTGTTTACAATATTGTTTCTTATATCCAAGTCCTTTGGTCTTTGGTGGATATTGATCTCATTGGCAATCAAACCACAGTATTAATCATCATGATCATACAAGAACAGACATACAAATGTAGCAGAGTGGATTTACCATTTTTCATTACTGTGTATTGATGAAATTAAATCCTGTCAAATTAAATACTAGTCATGATGACAAGCAATGATAATTGTGTGATTTTCAACAGGATTTAAGGTTAAATGTGAGTTTATTCAATGTACATGTATAGTGGCATATCTTATCCTTACTTCATGTCCATTTAGGTTTTTTCACATCCATAGTTGTTTTGGGGTTGATTCAGCTCAATTAACCGAATGAAAAAAAACTTCTCTATTAACTGTATGGGAGATAACTCTATATTTCATTTTTATAGAATATAAACATGTAGATGGACTGAGTATTATTGTTTTTACAATGAAGAATAACATACAATAAACACATAACTTACATTGAGGTATGTGCTGGTTCCTTGTTGTACTAAGAAAGTTTGTCCCATTAATATTTCTCCAGTCCCAGCTAGATGGAAGTGTCTTCAGATCTAAGGTTTCATGAGGCCTTGGGTAAGTTCTGTCAAGGAAAACAATAGCATATTCCTTTTACTATGATGTTGCATGTTACATGTACAAAAAAAATATATTAAATATATATAAATACCCCTTTGCTCTGAACCATTCACTAATATATTGGATAACCAAGGCAACAGCAGGCTATCAAGGGCTTTCACTTTCATTCTTACATGTATAATGTATATAAACATTGTCACTGTAAATTTCAGACAAATTATCTGATATCTATGTTTGTTTGTTTCAAGGTTGGCAAAAAAGCGGTCAATACTAGTATTGACCATGCCGGTGGTAAATACCGGTAAATACTGGCAAATACTGGTCAATACAAGCAAATACTGGTCAATTGAAATTTTAATAAACATTAGTACTATAATAAAATGCTTCGCTGGGCGCAGCTTGATACGACCGCAGAGGTCGAACCCTGAACAGTTGGGGCAAGTATGGACACAACATTCAAGCTTGATACAGCTCTGAATTTGGATTGTGATTAAATATTTGACACAGCATAGGTTTCTGACACAGAAAGAATGTGGTCTAAGAACTTCAATTTTTTTAATTTACCTATTATGGTCCAATGTCCAAAATCAAAATACATGGTTAGATTCAGCATATCAAAGAACCCCATATATTCAATTTTTGTTGAAATCAAACAAAGTTTAATTTTGGACCCCAACTTGGACAAACTTGAAAACTGGTCCCATAATCAAAAATCTAAACACATGTTTAGATTCAGCATATCAAAGTACCCCAAGAATTCAATTTTTGTTAAAATCAAACTAAGTTTAATTTTGGACCCTTTGGACCTTAACGTAGACCAATTTAAAAAACGGGACCCAAAATTAAAAATCTAAATACACGGTTAGATTTGGCATATCAAAGAACCCTAATAATTAAATTTTTGATGAAATCAAACAAAGTTTAATTTTGGACCCTTTTGACCTCAATATGAACCAATTTGATAGCGGGCCCACAAATAAAAAATCTAAATACATGGTAAGATTCAGCATATCAAAGAACCCCATATATTCAATTTTTTGTTGAAATCAAACAAAGTTTAATTTTGGACCCCAATTTGGACCAACTTGAAAACTGGGCCAAAAATCTAAAATCTAAATACATGTTTAGATTCAGCATATCAAAGAACCCCATATATTCAATTTTTGTTGAAATTAAACAAAGTTTAATTTTAGACCCCAACTTGGACCAACTTGAAAACTGGGCCCATAATAAAAAATCTAAACACATGTTTAGATTCAGCATATCAAAGAACCCCAAGAATTCAATTTTTGTTAAAATAAAACTAAGTTTAATTTTGGACCCTTTGGACCTTAATGTAGACCAATTTAAAAAACGGGACCCAAAATTAAAAATCTAAATACATGGTTAGATTTGGCATATCAAAGAACCCCAATAATTCAATTTTTGATGAAATCAAACAAAGTTTAATTTTGGACCCTTTTGACCTCAATATGAACCAATTTGATAGCGGGGTCCACAAATAAAAAATCTAAATACATGGTTAGATTCAGCATATCAAAGAACCCCATATATTCAATTTTTGTTGAAATCAAACAAAGTTTAATTTTGGACCCTTTGGACCTTAATGTAGACCAATTTGAAAACTGGACCCAAAATTAAAAATCTAAATACACGGTTAGATTCGGCATAACAAATAAATAAATGTGGTCAAAGATTTTACAAATCTAATGCGCCATACTGGTCTTCCTTTATAAATATGCATTTCTTTAAACATAATTTAAAAGCAGTGTAAGGGAAGTAACCAAAACGTTGTATTTGGATTACCTCCCTTACACTGTTTTAAATTATCTTAATTGTTCATTAACCATTACTTTATACATAATTTAAAAGCAGTGTAAGGGAGATAATTTCAATGATGTATTTGATTTATCTCCCTTACACTGCTTTAAATTATGTTTTGTTCTAAAGTAGTTGTCCATTAATGAGGACAACCTTGTTTTTCCCCCTTTTTTGCCCCTAATTCTTAAACGGTTTGAGCAATAACCCCCCAAAGCAAATCCTAACCATCCCTTTGTGGTATGGAAACTTGTAGTATAATTTCAGAGAGATCCATACACCGTTCCACAGTTATTGTCTGGAAACTAGAAAATGCTTATTTTTGGCCCCTTTTTGGCCCCTAATTCCTTAACTGTTGGTACCATAACCCCCAAAATCAATCCCCACCTTCCTTTTGTGGTATTGAACCTTATGGTAAAATTTCATAGAGATCCATTCACTTAAACTAAAGTTAGAGTGCGAAAACTAATGCGTATTCGGACGACGACGCCGGACGACGACGACGACGACGACGCCAACGTCATACCAATATACGACCACAAAAAATTTTTTGCGGTCGTATAAAAACCAGTCCCTACCTGGTCAATTACTGGGTAAATGGACAGATATTGTCACAGGACAGAAAGTCACAATTAATTACTTAAGTTTTTGAATATATAAGGGAAGATCCTTGAAATAATATCTCATTATAAGATAAATTCATAGTGTAGTTTATGGAATTGTTTATGAACATGGTTAAATGAAGATTTATCAAATATTAATCATACAAAGGACATATTTCTTGGCACCACTAAAAAGAGACTATGACAGCTTGTTTTCTTAACAGTAATTTCATCAAGTGTAATAAAAAAACATTCAAAAGTTGTTTTATATATAATATGTAATTTAGTTTAAGAAAAAAACAAAAATGGTTTAAAAAATTATTCTTTTCTTAACCAAAGAAAAAGTTCTCTCAAAACTGAATTGTGAATTTCTGTCTTGTGACATTTTGCCTACAATTACTGTTAGTCATAAAAATATTAAAAAGTTCCAAGTCAATATTAGACTTTTCTTTAATGTTGTTCTTTTCTTATATAAAATGAAATTCCGCATGAACACACTATTGACAGTGAGTATCAGAATAAAATATTAGTGAATAGGATAAATAAGGCATATTAAAGATCCTTCAAACTGCCATTTTCTGCATTTAGAAGATTTTTTATCATTCTGTTGAAAAGTCAGGAATTAATTTATTGTTTTAAACAGTCTTCAAAAATAACTTTTATGATTTGTTTCCTGTTTTGTCAACATTTATCAGCATGATTAGGGGGCAGTTTTTATAGTAATTTAACTTTTGACACCTGCTAGCAATATAATAGGTAATGCTCTGATAATCCAGTCACCTGTAATTCTATTTACCTGTCAAAATCAAACCTTTTCAAGAAAAAATATCTTGATTTAAAAATGTTGAAATAATTGATAGAGCAATTTTATATATACCTAAAGTATGTAATATCATCATTACCTTTAAGAACTAAATTAGTCATTATTCATGTTAATAGTTAATAAAACATACCAATATTATTCTTTTTTTAAAACTTAATCATGACAAAGGAATTAAGTTAAAATAATTTTCTCAATCAACCAATATTTTACTAAAAATTGATAGTTAAGCCTTTCAAAAGAACCATAAAAATTTCAATTGACCAGTATTTGCCAGTATTGACCACTTAAGGATTATTGACAGGGGCGGTAAATACCGGTAAATACCACTGGTAAATACCGGGGGCGGTATTTACAGCCCAACCTTGGTTTGTTTAGTTTGTTACTGTTAGGTAAGGTACATTTTTTGTACTAACTGTCTTTTCTTTTAATGCATCAATTATGGCTAAACTTTAAAAAGACATAATGCAACACTTTTTATCTTCAATCAATATTTAAATATAATCATAAAAAAGCATAAAAAAACTTTTGTAATTTTGCAGTATTTTTCTCTACAACAATGTAATTACTTTTAATTTTACAACACATAATACAAAAAAAATAAATCAGAAGACATGTGCATAAGATAATCTGTTAAAAAAAATTCAACTACATGTTGTAAGTGTATCTAATTTCATGTCCAATTTAACAATTATACAAATGCTAGAAATTTTCCCACGTATAAGTCTTTTTGCAAATTTAAGATGTATATATTCAAACCAAGCTACACAACATTTACAAACATTGTTTATCTATAGCTATTGGAAAAAAACAGTTGGATAAATTTTCTCTGACAGTTAACTAAAGACATATCATTAAGACAGACATTTCTCTAATTCTTTGGAAATTTATCCCTTTCCGAACCCAACCCATCTATAAAAAAATTTAATCAATGTGTGGTTGCCATTGATCTCAGAGGATGATTGGATGAGTTTAAGGGTCATAACCTTTCTCAGCTCACTGGATACATCAAAATATTCTAACAGGTGTTAATGAAATTGACAACTTTATGGAAAGTGGAAGGCACTCGAAGGAGATTTTAGTTTAGGAAAAAAGGAAATTTTTTTTTTTAACATTACAGAAACAGATTCTTACATAGTTACTCGTGGATTATCGGATTTATCCAATCTCCATAGTTAAATTATAAATTTTAAAGTCCTCGCCAAGGCTCGGACTTTAAAATTGATAATTTAACTATCTTGATTGGATAAATCCGATAATCCACTGGTATCAATGTAAGAATCTATATTTCTACATATTGGAGTCAAATTTAAGTTTTAGAACTATCTCACATTGATAAAAAAAATTTGAACTAATGAGAACTTAAAAGATATACAAAAAATGTACCAGAACATGTATTTCTTCAAACTGGTTACAAATAGAACTAGGTAGATACAAGGTACCATACATGTAACCAACACAGATGAATATGTACAAAATGTCCTATTGTTTCTATTTCAGTCAGGGGTACTACTTGTACAAGTAATTTTTATTTACTTGAAGAAGTAATATTAATATACTTAGTTAAGTAAATTTGTAGGATACTTATACAAGTGTATTTTATTTACTAATATAGGTAAATAATTTTTTGGCTTAGTTATGTCCCTTAGACATTCAGATTTTTTTACTTATATAAGTAAAAAAGTCATCCTATCTTCTTTTCTTGAATTCTGAGGACTTCTTTGCTCTAATAGAATTTTAAATTGTCTGTCCTTTGCAGATGTCTTTACTAATCATGTAAGTGTAATTTCATGGACAATGAAAATCTCATTTGTCTGTTATCTTCAGAACACTGCTCATTTACCAGCCCCGAAGGGGCAATTTTTGAAGGCCTTGCACAAATACTTAAGATCTTTGCGCAATCAGTTTCTTTGTTGAATTAATGAGATGAAACATTGAACTCTAATCAAAAATTATGAGCTTACCTGGTAAAAATCATTAAAGGCATGTTTTTACATCTCAAAACTTTAGAATTTTTGTGGGATTGTAAAAAAAATTTACTTTAATATACAAGTAAATTTTTGTGAAAATTAAGGGGAGATTATTCAAACATTATAATCAACTTATATAAATATATTTTTTTTACTTCTTTAAGTAAATAAAGGTTACTTGTACAAGTAGTAACCCTAACTGTATTTGTTGTTAGGCTGTAGGTTTTCTGTTCTGAATTGTTTCACATTTTGTCATGCAGGGTTCCTTTATAGATCTTATTTTACCTGTTTACAGTATGGGTTTTGTTCATTGTTGAAAGTATTACCATGCTTACAGTGACCTATAATAGCTGTCATCATTTGGTGTCTGTAGGGTAGTTTTCTCATTGGCAATCATACATGTACCACATGATAAGTCCTTTCAAAATGTATTTATTTTTGTGTTTAAAAATTTGGCTGTATATACTTATGGCATGTATGGACTTGAATCTTACACATTTTGTATGATTAAATCATGAGCTATTCAAATATTTACTTTTTTTCAGAACTTTCAAAAAATATTGCGTCTTTTCATTTGTTTTTAAATTGAATGTTATTTCATTGTATTTTAAAACATGACTAATATTCATGCACAACTGATATCATTGTCAATTCATATGTTTATGCCCTTGGGCCCTTGTAAATTTTGAAATAAAATCTTCATCTATTAGGAAATTCATTTTAATTTGTGTTTCTGTTAGAACCAGACCAGTAAACAGGGCAAAAAATATGAATATGTCATTTGTGTAAAAAATCAATTTCAAACATAGAGAAAACAATATTTGTAGTTTTTATCTGTTGTGGAAAACTTGTGCATTACAGTAAGAAAATGAAAACCCTTATATTCTGTACTTATTCACAGTATAATAATGAGGAGAGAGTGTATTTACATTCGGCTGCTTTAACATCTTAGTTTATATCAAGAAGTTAAAAACTATGACTAATTTAAACTGTTATATAACTACTGTAGGACTATTAAGTCCCTGGTAAAAATAAGATATCAGACTGAATTTCGCCTGTGTTTATCAACTTACTTCACGATATTGATTCCTTCACCAAACTTTCTGTTTAAACATGGATGTTTACTATATTTGCCAGCATCTCCCTGCTTGATAAAGTCACATAAAACGACGAGAAAAAATGTAAACAGAAAGTAACGTGCCATCTTCTGTTTCAATAAGGAAAATAAAAAGTCACATGACCTTGTCACGAGACACAGCAATAATGGCATGTGACTGTAGAGGCGCATAAGGGATGAAAATAATAAGGCAGTGGCTATTTTGCCGGCAGTGAAAATATGCTATTATGCCAGCTCTAATAAAAATATCTTTATTAAAGCCGGCATATTTATATAGCAATGACTATTTTAATATTTTCTTTGAAAAGTAGAACGAAATTGTGCATTGTCAGCATAAAAAAATCAAATTATTACTCATATCGTTAAATAAAATATTTCAGTATCAGTATTTCATACAGAAGTCCATTACTAGTAATAGACTTCTGGTATTTGAGATACAAATAAGGGAGTCATTTGATTTTTAGAGGGGGGGGGGGGGCTAGGATGAAATTTGAAAAAAGGCACTGAGGACAGTAGTTTTAAGTAAAAAAAAAGGCAGGATGAGCAACTTGGCCGCAAAAAAAGGCAAGATGACAATTTATGTAAAAATAAGTCAGGATAAACTAATAAAAAAAGGCAGGACCGAATAGAGTGAAAAATAAAAAGGCAGGACAGAGATTACAACTTAAAAAAAATGCAGGACCAAATTTTTCATCCTAGCCCCCCATAAAAATCAAATGGTAGCTTCCTAATCGTTTAAAAACATTTATCAGTCAAAGTAAAAAAAAAGAATTTGAAAAAAGAAATAGAAAATAAAAATATTGAGAATCCATTGGTAGCAATGAAATCATATCAAAATAGTAAACTGATGAAATTACTTCTAAAGCCATGCAGTCACAGTCAATTAAGTGCTACATGAATGCATAAGAATAAAATCCCAGATTTTTCAACTGTATATGTTGTAACTTGAAATACAAAAGTAAAAATTCTCATTGCATATAAACAATTTGATAATTTTGAACATTATGCAATCTAACAAAATCAATCACATAACTTCATGATCAAATATGTTTAAATTTAATTTGCTTTTAAAATAATAGTCAGTTCTTTGAATTGCATATCTGCCGATGTAAACACAATCGTTTTTTACTGGCAAAATTGGCTTCCGCTTACCTAGAGCCGGCAAAATAGCCACTGCCAAATAATAAATCATGCAATTTTGCCAAATTACCAGTTCTGTAACTCGCCCTCAAACGATCATTGTGACAGATTTCAATACACATTTTATTGAATTTTACAACAACGTAAAATTTGGTCGTTTATATATATATAGATTTAAAAAAATATAGATATAACTTTCTAACTTTTTTGCCGATAAAAAATCTTTATATTCTCACGTCGAATAACTATACGCCTTTTGATTTCTTTAATCACCGTGCCGAGTATAATACACGTGCTTTAATAACAACAACAAAAAATACGCTTGCTCAATTATTATAAAGTATTTTGTCAATCTGTTGTTTGGTAAAAACCTCGTTATAATTCAGCTTTCAATCTTTTACTTTTGCATGCTAGACTTTATAATAGCTGCACTCAAGGGGCTTGCACCGCCGGGCTCTAATGTCAAAGTACAGTACACATGCTTTTTAGTGCGTGTTTTTTGTTTTAGTGTCGGAAGTTCAGTACACGTGCTTTTTAGTGCGTGTTTTTGTTTTATTGTCGGAAGTTCAGTGCGAATGGTTCACATTTGTATCGATATGTGTTGCTTTGTATTGCTTCACTTTGTATGTGTTTTAATAAATTGTATATGCTGCTGTGCCGTTTGTAGTTGTCGTATTATGTATCAGGATTAAACTTCACAGCCGGTTATCAGAAGAGCCCATGCTCCATGTTAATCATATTTGTATGTAAAAATTAAGTATCAGTATACGAACATCCGAGTTAAAAGACTTTGTACTTACACTTAGTTTTCTTTCGTATTTTTCATTCACTGATGGTCACTTCGTATGTACTGTTTGCTATGTTTCACTTTTTAGGAATTTATCTGCAGGGGACTGCTACTCTTGTAAACATAATGTAATCACCGAAGTCTCACGAATAAAGGAAAAACTCTTGTAACATGAATGGAAATATTTACTTTTGATCGTCGAGGTAGTGAACTGTATACAACTTTTATTTATAAAGAAGTGCATTAACAGACGGCTTTTTATATTATACATTTTTGTATAAAGAAAAATTCTAATAAACTAGAAAAAAATACAAGAAAGAGCATTAAGATTCGTCTATGACGACTATTTATCATCCTCTGAAACTCTTCTCGAGAACGCAAATTTTCCAATCCTACAAGTGAGACACATCAGAACAATGGCACTTACACTAAATTTTCTTTCATATATGTTGGAAATAACACAGGTAAAAACTACCGCATATGGTAAGAAATCGTTTAGCTTCGATGCTGCTTTAAGTGGAATAGTTGACCAGAAAACAGTTTCACCCTTTTTATAGAAGTCTTGTTCAGTCCATTCAGGAGTGGATCGGACTGACTTCGCTCTGCATGCAAGGATTTCTTAAAAGATTTTCAAGCATATTATGCTGCATAATTGCAATTTATATTTTTTAGTTTTTAGTAAAAAAAAAAAACATAAAAAATTCTGAAAATATTAAGCTGCAAATTTTTGAAAATTATTATTCTTTTTTATAGTATGTCTTAGTGCTTCATATATATGCTTTTTGTTTTAGCAATATATATATATATATATTTAAATTCAAGAGTCTATCCTAAATTGAGGTAAATTTTATGGCCTTCCAAATACTGTTTCGATCCCTAACATCACTGAAAAGACATTAATTGTCGAAATCCGGATATGGTGTACTAATTTTTGCACCTTTTGTTTGCGGTATACCATCTTTTCCGCAAGTTTATTGTTTTCTGTTTGGTATTAGATTATTAATTTTTAAAGATCCATTTTGTTACATCTTGTGATCCGTTTATTTGGCAATCGCCAATGGCAGTCAGCAGGGTTTAAGAACATCAGTTGTTCGACCTGTTAGTCAAATGCGTTTTGTTAAAATATACTTTTTCACTTTTTTGGTCTTTTGGGAAATGTTGTTTGTGCTGTATTTAGACCCCTCTACCAAGAAATTTGTTTTGCATGCACACGTATAAAATTTGCGGTTTTTATCCAACGCAATCATAGGTTTGAACGTCGTTTTCAATTTAGACTTGTTTACATTTTTTCGTTTGGGCTTGTATTATATTTTCCTTCGGGTTTATATGATCCGTTCATCCTTTTTCGACTCTTTAAAATTCAAGAGTCTATCCTAAATTGAGGTAAATTTTATGGCCTTCCAAATACTGTTTCGATCCCTAACATCACTGAAGAGACATTAATTGTCGAAATCCGGATATGGTGTACTAATTTTTGCACCTTTTGTTTGCGGTATACCATCTTTTCCGCAAGTTTATTGTTTTCTGTTTGGTATTAGATTATTAATTTTTAAAGATCCATTTTGTTACATCTTGTGATCCGTTTATTTGGCAATCGCCAATGGCAGTCAGCAGGGTTTAAGAACATCAGTTGTTCGACCTGTTAGTCAAATGCGTTTTGTTAAAATATACTTTTTCACTTTTTTGGTCTTTTGGAAAATGTTGTTTGTGCTGTATTTAGACCCCTCTACCAAGAAATTTGTTTTGCATGCACACGTATAAAAATTGCGGTTTTTATCCAACGCAATCATAGGTTTGAACGTCGTTTTCAATTTAGACTTGTTTACATTTTTTCGTTTGGGCTTGTATTATATTTTCCTTCGGGTTTATATGATCCGTTCATCCTATTTCGACTCTTTAAAATTCAAGAGTCTATCCTAAATTGAGGTAAATTTTATGACCTTCCAAATACTGTTTCGATCCCTAACATCACTGAAGAGACATTAATTGTCGAAATCCGGATATGGTGTACTAATTTTTGCACCTTTTGTTTGCGGTATACCATCTTCGCCGCAAGTTTATTGTTTTCTGTTTGGTATTAGATTATTAATTTTTAAAGATCCATTTTATTACATCTTGTGATCCGTTTATTTGGCAATCGCCAATGGCAGTCAGCAGGGTTTAAGAACATCAGTTGTTCGACCTGTTAGTCAAATGCGTTTTGTTAAAATATACTTTTTCACTTTTTTGGTCTTTTGGAAAATGTTGTTTGTGCTGTATTTAGACCCCTCTACCAAGAAATTTGTTTTGCATGCACACGTATAAAAATTGCGGTTTTTATCCAACGCAATCATAGGTTTGAACGTCGTTTTCAATTTAGACTTGTTTACATTTTTTCGTTTGGGCTTGTATTATATTTTCCTTCGGGTTTATATGATCCGTTCATCCTATTTCGACTCTTTAAAATTCAAGAGTCTATCCTAAATTGAGGTAAATTTTATGGCCTTCCAAATACTGTTTCGATCCCTAACATCACTGAAGAGACATTTAATTGTCGAAATCCGGATATGGTGTACTAATTTTTGCACCTTTTGTTTGCGGTATACCATCTTTTCCGCAAGTTTATTGTTTTCTGTTTGGTATTAGATTATTAATTTTTAAAGATCCATTTTGTTACATCTTGTGATCCGTTTATTTGGCAATCGCCAATGGCAGTCAGCAGGGTTTAAGAACATCAGTTGTTCGACCTGTTAGTCAAATGCGTTTTGTTAAAATATACTTTTTCACTTTTTTGGTCTTTTGGAAAATGTTGTTTGTGCTGTATTTAGACCCCTCTACCAAGAAATTTGTTTTGCATGCACACGTATAAAAATTGCGGTTTTTATCCAACGCAATCATAGGTTTGATCGTCGTTTTCAATTTAGACTTGTTTATATATATATATATAAATAAGTATATATAAAAAAAAAAATAAAAAAAAAAAATATTTGCACCTTTGTTTGCGGTATACCATCTTCGCCGCAAGTTTATTGTTTTCTGTTTGGTATTAAATTTAAAGTTAAGATCCATTTATTACACCTTGTGATCCGTTTATTTGGCAATCGCCAATGGCAGTCAGCAGGATTTAAGAACATTTGTTGTTCGACCTGTTAGTCAAATGCGTTTTGTTAAAATATACTTTTTCACTTTTTTGATCTTTTGGAAAATGTTGTTTGTGC